ATAACTCGATCACAAGCAAGCCGCACAAAATTAAAATACTCATACCGATAATGATGCAGAACCATAACAATATAATCATGCACAAATAAAAGAACGGAAAATGGAAGTCGCATACCTACAACGTCCGATGCTGCTCGCGTCCCCAATGTAGTCATCTGAAAATCCCTGCCTCCTACCGCAGGTGCCTCTGCACGACCCTGCTGGTCGTCTGTGATCCTCAAAGTTGCAGGGGCAGGTGCCATCACCCGTCTTGCTGGAAGCAAACTGGGGCATTGGGCCTTCTTGTGGCCCTGCTGATTGCAGTGAAAACATATCAAGTCTGATCCATGTGTGGTGGTAATAGTGCAATCCCTACTAAAATGACCAGTCCGACCGCACTTGAAGCAGCCAGACTCACCACCGCTACCACTCCTGCACGCACCCCCGTGCGTCCTGCCATACTTCCCATACCGGTCGCGGTCCTAATAATCCCTCGATCTCAAATCTGATCCCTTGGGACTTTTTCCCGAACCTGTGGCTATCTGAACCTCATATGGCTTCCTCTTCCGGATCTGCTCCAAATCTATTTCTCTCTCTCTAGCCCGCATGATCATATCTTCCAACGTTTTGCAGCTGGACCTGCTCATGAACTGCCTGATGTCATCCCTCAACATCTCGTGATATCAGGCCTTCTCGTGATATCAGAACAAGAAGGGACCTCTCCCTAAACTTGGCGGTGATCTCCGCCACAGTCTCAGTAGTCTGCATCAAATCCTGAAGCTCCCGTGCCAATTGCTGCACCTCAATAATCAGTGAAAACTCAGCCCTAAACCTGGCCAAGAAATCGCTCCATGTCATCGCGTCCAACGCGACATCATCACCAATGGCATGACCAATCTCCTCCCACAAATCCCTCGCTCTGTCCTTCAGTAGACAGGAGGCGAGTCTGACCTTGTCCCCCTCAGGACACCGGCTCGTATGGAAAGCGTTGTCAACATCAACCAACCATCTGCTGCTAGCAATGGGGTCCCTAGCCCCATGATAATCTGGTGCCTCGCAAGCCCTGAACTCTCGGAATGTCAAAGTACGCGCTCCCATCAAAGCCATCATCTCGGTACGGAAGGCTCCCAGCCTCTCATTCAAAATCTCCAGTTAACCCTCCTTGACCGTGCCAAAGATCACAAGAGTCTGATCTAGAATACTGCACGTAACCTCAGCTGATATCAACTCCCTCATTCGCTCCTCGACCTGCTCGGCTCCTGAACCCGAGCTTGATCCCTCCCTGGCCCTTGATCCGCCCACTGGTCTCTCTCGCAACGTCACCATGCTGAAAATATAATACATCCACTTATCATAATACTTATCACTACTGCGAGAGCAAACACACGCACTACCAGTTTCCCGGTCTCATCTCGGCCTTTCCCGATTCGAGTACGAATCCTATGCTTTCAGTAGTACGGGCCCATACTACCTTCCACATCTATCCGTACTTTCCTCAGGAACTACTTGGACTCCACCAGGTCCCTTTTCCACTACTATTGCTCCCAACACTACCTCATCCTAGGCTTGCCCTAGGGAAACCTCTGACTCAAACCAAACCAGTCCTCATCCACTGAAGGCCTCCTTATGATGCCAATTAGCCATCACCTGGATACCATCACATGTAATGAGGCTCAGATAATCCTTCGAGTAAAAGACTCGTCCTTACAACGGTTGGACTCAAACAACAGCTGCGCAATAGGGCCAAATCTAGCACTCTGAGATTATTCAACCCTGATTACATGTGACGTGATGTATCCACCTAATGGCTAGCTCCCTTCACTCGGAGTCCCACAATGCACAAAGCAAACAACATTTAAGCAAGGGAAAATCTAACGATAACATACTCAAGCAATCTTAATCTCATAACAAGAATTTTTACTAGCATGCAACACAAACTCATAAACTCAGGCATAACCTAAACATGCTATCCTATTACTATCTAACCAGCACTATCATGTAGCTCAAAAGCACATATAACAGGCATATAAGGCATCCTCCCTAGGTGCTTAGTGCTAATCTAGCATGTTGTTCTATTAATTGATAATCATAACATAACTTGCATGGGTATTTTGGGGTACTTACTTGAGCTCGGCTGATTGCATGCACCACACCCTTTTTTCTTATCAAAATTCTTTTCTTTCTGAATTTTTTTCGCTTTTCTAAAACTGTTTCAATTCTAAAAACTCTTTTTACAAAACTGTCTTTTCATTTTGAAAACTTTTAGACCAATCCCTTAGTTTGAGTTCAAACACACCCGAGAGTATGTCCGAATCCCTCAAACTAAGGCTCTGATACCAACTTGTGACGTCCCAAAATTCAAGACTGAAAATTTCTTTCATAAAACATTACTTAAAACATAATTATCAATCCATAACATAATCATAGTATTAATTTCCAAAACATGTGTTCATTATCAGAGTAAAACATTCCCAGGCTGTTTAATCTATGGTGTGTGCCATGCGATCACCCTGAGCTCTTCCCTCCGCTACCGAAAGTACCTGAAAACTGTAAGCACGAAGCTTAGTGAGTTCCCCAACCTACCACAAACCATGCATAACCACATATTGCACATACTGGGCCACGCCCCCTTACCTCGAGCCTCGCCCGCTACTACTGCCCTACCGCTCCAGGCCCTGCCTGGCTTCGAGCCCGGCTCGGACACAGATATGTTTCGCTTAGGCCTCGCCTGTCAATGGGCCTCGCCCGCTAGCATATACTAACACATAAGCATATCACAACACATAAACTAACATCTACTAACAAATCATATCCTGTGGCCTCGCCTATCTTGGGCCTCCCCCTTGTCGTGCTACTGATGGGTCATGGAACCCCGTCCATGCCCCTACTGATAGTGAGGTACGGGCCCAGCCCACACTCACTCTTTCCCTAACTTGGGCCTCACCACTGATCTGCTGCTAATAAGATGTGGAACACCATCCACACTCTGCTATTGGTGAGATACGACACCTCGCCCACACTCACCTCCCTACCAGGCACATACATGTATCACACAGACAACAAGTATAAACTATCATATAAACCATTCCTTGGGCACCCACCCGCTATCATGGGACCTCGTCCTGAATGTTATACTAGCATATTGTGCCTGGGGCTAACCCCCGAGTCTTCTACTCATAACTACATGGGCCGGCATTATGGCCTTAGATCCATTCACACAAAGGGAAACTCACCTGCACTTGTTGAACTTGCTGATAACCCCTCTAGCTGCTGCTCGGTAACTCTCTGAACTCCTGCTCCACTAGCTCCCTGAGCTACCAATACCAATGCAACACTTAGTCTAACTATCCCCCGAAAGTCAACTATATCAACTCTGATCAAAGTTAAAGTCCTGGTCAAAGTCAACCTTCTAGGTCAACCCTACTCGCCGAGTCTGCCTACTGACTCAATGAGTTCATATACTCAGAGTCCTTCCATTCGCGACTCGACTCACCGAGTCAACCCATGAATCGTCGAGTCCACCGATTTTCGGATCCCGTCCTGTCCAACTCACTGAGTCTCCACTCGACTCACTGATTCGAGTCTTAACTCGAAGGGTTCAGGGTTCGCTACCTGGCTCGCTGAGTCCCAGAACAGACTCGCCGAGTCCAAGGCAAACTTCAACAGACTCGTCGAGTTGTTCATCCAACACGTCGAGTTCCTCCTAATCTTCATACTACTCGCCGAGTTCACTCGAAGGACTCGCCGAGTCTATTCAGTCCTTCACGCATTCAGAGGCTTTTTGAGTCATGCAGGGACTCCAAACTGTAGATCCACTCTTCCAGGGCCTATTCCTCATGCAAAGTTGCAAACTTTATGTGTAGCTAAGGAGATCTAGGACCAAAACACTCCATACTCGGGTTTAAGACAACCATGCTTCACCTACACCCCTAAGGCTGATACTTTATGACTCTCTAGGCCAGAATACTCTTAGATCTGAAGTAGCAACTTTAGATCTAGACTTCTAACTCCAAATGGCTCTAGGTTATGGCATAAAAGCCCCAAATCTCATGACAAAAAGGAAACTATGAGCAAAGGAGTGAAGGTAATGACTTCTTACCTTCAAATGCTCTGAAAAGTCACCCCAACTCTAGATCCAAGGCTTCCTCTTGTACCACTATGAACTTCCTTCTCTTATAAGCTTCAAGTCACAACACCAAGGCTAGATCTTGCTCAAAAACAGATATGGTGGCTAGGGTTCGATGTTCTTGATGAGAAGAGGTGTAAAAGAACCATAAGGAAGAGAATGAGGTGCTTAAATAGTGCACAAAGTCACGGATTTAGGGTTACCCTCTTAAGACCGAACTCGCCGAGTCCATTCTCCGACTCACTGAGTCGGTCACTTACTCCTCGACCCGGATCCCGCTCGGACTCGTTGAGTTCCTCCTTGGACTCGACAAGTTGGCCCTTTAACTTAGGGTTTTCTTTCCTTTCTTGGTCTTTCTGATTATGGGTGTTACACAAAGCAAGCTCCCATGTAGATGGAACAGCTTTCTTAACATGATCACAAAGAAGCATTTGAGATTCTTCTAATCCAATGGTGTACAAAGAGATGAAAACACCATCAAAATCTAGGGTTTTAGCAGTCAATGCATCTTTCAGCCAATTTCCAGAAAACTGAAACATGGAATTGAAATGGCCTGAAGGAATTTTGTCAGATAATGATAACTCCTGATTGAATTGCTCCGGCATCTTGCATACAAAAAGAATGCAGAAACTTACCAACCATTTACATTTTTCATGCTTAACAGTTGTTTAACAATTAATTGATGTTGATCTTTTATACACATTACATACAGATTGTAGGTACTGAAAGGAAGATTTTATCAAAGCACGAAAACAGTAAAACCATCCATACCAGACAAAAAGAAAGAACATTAGAATGAAGTCGTGTTTGCTCGCCTTCATCACATTTGATGGATCCCAAAACATTGAAGAGTAGAAGCCCACTAGGAAGCACAATGTCTCTACCTTCATCCTCCTCAATTTCTACCAACATCTGAAAGATAACGACGACTGCGATCGCTAAGCCTCAAATCCAACGAGATATCATAACCACATCCAATTGACTGAATCACAACATTTGTAGCTTCAACAGCTGGCAGCTTAAGCGCCATTCTTAACTTCAATTTCTCAAAATGAATACCAACTTAATCAACAATTGCATCTCAACCATAATTGACGACGATCAATTCTTCTGTAACACTTCCCAAACGTTGTTCTGTTGATTCCATTTTAGATACAAACCCTAGATGGTAGAGCTGGATGTAAGATCTACGAAGTGATTCGGGAAATTTGATAAAATTACTCTGTCACTGGAAACAAGGATCCACCGTCCACCTTCCTCTCTCATTAGTCACTCTGGCGATCACCGTTGAACCCATTCTCATTTCTGCCTTTACCAAAATTGTCATCGTTACCACTGCCATCTCCAAACTCGTTATTGTCAACATCAAGCAATGGAGCTAGTATCTGAGGAGATTGGACACAAGTACATAGCCTCAGTGAAAGTCATTGGCGGAGCTGCTCCATGGATGGCTGGCTCAGTGACTTGGCCATGAAATCACACTAAAAAATATTCCAACTGGACAAGTAAAAGGAAAAGAGCAAATAGGTAGTTATTCTATAATGATGGCTAGGTAGTGTTGACTATTCAACACATACTCACATACTATGCAATTTTGTGCAATCATGATATCGCACCATATCCACATCTAACCTTACCCACACAATTTCATGGAAGCCTTACCTCCTGCACTTCTAACAATGATCATTTTATGAGTTTGTGGGAAACTCTGCTTTGAATACAATGGTCTACACACATCAAGGTTAGATGTCATCCTCCTTTATGCTTCTAGCTTTATAAAGACTATTTCATAAGTATATACTATTGTATCTTTTGTTGCTTCTTCCTGCAGATTTCCTGTAAACAATGAAAATACTGCACCATTATGTTAGAGATTCAAACTGCATGCAAAGCACACTTTTTGTCACTACATCACATACGTAGTAAACCTTGTGTTTGGTATTGACTATCAAAGTATGGAACTTTTATTCCTTAATTACAAATTGGCTGAGGAGACATTCTATTCGACTTCATACATAGCAAATGAGAGAGAAGATGGATGGTTCACGACTGAATTGTATCAGTTTACTAGCACCAAGAGAAGTGTTGATTTTAAAAGCAAAAGAAAACATAAAACTTGAAATTTTGTAATAACTATGACTTTTATGATATACTTGTATCCCTTTGTTAATATGGAGTACACTACTCTATGTAAATAATGTTTTAAAATGAAAATTTCTAGGTGTATTTTGAGTTTTGGGGGTTTATCAAAACTTGTGTTCTGCCTACTGCAGTCTGTAATTATGACTTGTTCTTGTCCTTTTCTTGCAAGTGCATTTCAAGATACACATCTCTCTATATGAATTGTTAGTTCTTCATCAAAGCATTTCTTCATTTCCTATCAAATAGAAGGATAAATATGCAATCCATATTGCACTTCAAAAAGCGTATATGTGTATCTAGAAATTAGTACACCCAAACAAATTGTTTTGAGTTCTTTACAATCACGATGAACCTCATAACTTGACATTTTGTTTCACTAGTGACAAAATTCTATAGCTTGTTACTCTTGAAAACATTATATTACCATGACATATCCAAACACAAGTTCAGAACGACCTAAAACATCACCTAATCGGCCACATCTTCATCGAATCACATTCGAGCAAAGAGTACTTAACCTCAAGAGAGATCTTTTGATGTAATATAACAAGAGAATTATTTTTCTTCTCCACAACAAGTCTAGCTCCTGAGACAACCCAATACCCCGGGCTCTCTTGTGGGCCCCGTTTCACCTCCGTTGTATCCACAAGATGTAATAGCTTCTCCATCTTCTTCGTATGGACCACAAGCTTCGGTTGGTGGAGTGGGGCGTGAGGGGCTTGAAACTGTTGTGGGAAGACCACCTCCATGAAAGGAATTGAAGATTCCGCTTTCTGGGCTGGAGACACATCCCATTCTGGATTCTTGTTTGCATTGCAACCGAGTACTTTTGAGAATTGGAGGCGTAAGAAGAGGACTTTTGAGAACTGGAGACACATCCCATTCTGGAAGTGGTGGTGATGGCGGCGGTGTTGTTGTTGGTGATGGGGTGGTGGTGATGGTAGGTCGGTGATTGTGGTAGTGGTGTTGGGTGGGTGTGTGGGTGTTGGATGGGGGTCGGGGTGGGTGTGGGTGTGGGTGTGAGTTTGTGTGTGTGTTTGTGTTTGTAGGGGTGTGGATAGGGGTGGTTGTGTGTTTGTGGGAATGGGTGGGTGTAGGTGTGTGTGTTTGTGGAGGTTGGTATTTGTGTGTGTGTGTGTGTGTGTTTGTGGGTGTTTATGTTTGTGGGGGTGTCGGTGACGGTGGGGTGGGTGTGTGTTTGTAGGGGTTGGTGTGTGTGTGTGTATGTATGTGTGTGTGTTTGTTTGTGGGGTTGGTGTGTGTGTGTATGTATGTTTGTGGGGGGGTGGACTTGGGAGTGAGTGTAGGTAGGTAGGGGTGTGGTGGGTTGGGGGTGTTAAGGTTAGGGTAGTTAGATGTGGATGGGGTGAGAGTGGGCGTTTATATTTTAGAAAAATTTTTGAATTAGAAAATTTTAGAAAACAATGATTATTGGCTTTCCAATAATTTCCAACTTTTTAATTTTAAAAAATGGAAAATTTTCGTTTTCCGTGAAAATTTTAGAAAAATAGACAAACTAAACGCGTTTTCAAAATTCTCATTTTTCTTGAAATTTTTTTCGGAAAACGGCCAATTTTTCCGCAACTAAAGTCACCCTAATTTTCGGCCATTAGAATCAGAATTAAGTTCCAAAGATTAGGAAATTATCAGATTGGTATATACATATAACTTGGCCCCAGAAAGCATGAACTTTAAATACGTTGTACTTTGCTGCTCATTTTGTGGACCAAGTGGCTACTTACTGAATATAGGGGCCCATTGTCTTGGTAGCTGGAAATCCAAAAACCAGTGAAGCTCTCCCAAAGGAGGTTTATCTATAAACAGCCTTAAAATCATAATTTTATCTCAAATCAACGTAATCAGATAGGAATAGGAGGGTAAAAGGGTCATTTTCTCATAGCGTAAATAGAGATTTATGGCATGAATTAAGAATCCACTTCCCCTAACACCATTTAGCAAAGAGGTTATTAGAACGAAGGATATTGTGACCACATCTGGTTTAGATTGTACCGTTTGTAACCACTCGTTATGTTGTAGGTTTCTGTCATCATTCCCACCTCTCCTTCTATAATTATGTTTTAGGTTCTTGTCATTACTCCATTCTATCCATCTCCAAATGCTTATTTGATCCTATAAATAATTGAAATGAATAGTGATAATTATGTATGTAAGGGACGAAAAATGCAACAAAATCAAACCACATGGATGAAAAACGCAACAAAATCAAACCACAGGGACGATCCGAGTGCAAAAAAAAAAGTTAGGGACCAAACGTGCAATTTTGACCAAACCACAGGGATGATTTCAGTAATTTACTCTCTCTCTCTCTCTCTCTCTCTATATATATATATATATATATATATATATATATATATATATATATATATATATATATATATATATATATATATAGACCAAACCAGGATGATTTCAGTAGTTAGGGACCAAACGTGCAATTTTTACCACTTGTCAGCTTCTCCTTCATTTTGACACTTGTCATTTTGTGAGAGTTTTAGAATTTTTATTTTCTAATTGTCATTTTCTTGGGATTTCTATTTTCTTAAAATAAAATTCCATAAATTTGTAATGGGTTCTATATGGAAATAAAATCACTCTATTAATTTGATAATAAATTCTCATAAATACTCAAAATGATTTAATTTCTTTTGCAAATATTCCAAAAGAATACATTTTGTTATGTAAAGTATTACTTTATAAAATATTTCATGTTTATATATTGATATTAAAATTTTATTTTAAATAAACTTGTATAATACATGGGTCTCACACCTAGTCTACCTAATAAATGAATGTTTTTTTTGTCACATGTTACACTCTCGTTCAATTTGACAAATGTCTTTTTGTGGTTATTTTGAATTAATTTTTATCCATATATCATTTTATGAGTTTTTTATTTTAAAAAATTCCACATAATACTTTAATGTAATAATTACAATAAATGTAGTAATAAATTAATATCAATTTCATTAATGGACTTACCTCCTTATTTCAAAATTCTCAAATTAAATCTCTTTAGTTTATTTTTTTTATTTCTTTAAATTTAAAAGATAAAAAAAAAATCAATTTTAATAGTTTATTATTTTTCTTATTTTCTTTTAAATCCAAAGTGTTTAAAATATTTAGACCTTTATATTTATTTATTTTTTAATTAACTCATGTAATACATGGGTCTTACACCTAGTGTATATATATATATATATATATATATATATATATATATATATATATATATATATATATATATATATATATAGGGAAATGATCAAATGAGAACACCTAAAAGGTTGAGAATGCGAGAACAAGTATATTCATTTGTGATTCCATTTATTCATTTATGGAGAAATGATCAATTTTTACGCATAATCAACATGAATATGTTTTTTTCTCTTTAATTGAAATTAAATTCGTAAAATTTTATCATTCATCCACAAATGAATACATGGAATCACAAATGAATATACTTTGTTCTCGTGTTCTCAATCTTTTTGGTGTTCTTATTTGATCATACTCTTATATATATATATATATATATATATATATATATATATATATATATATATATATATATATATATATATATATATATATATATATAAAAGAGAAAGCAACCTCATAGCATTATACCTTTGATTTTTTTTCCTTATTAGGATATTATACTTTGAAAATTTTGTTGACGATAAATGCTAGCCTTAATGGAGTAAACTCTTTCTTGTCATGACAATTAAGTTAGGTATGGAAGTTACTAACAATTATTTCTAACCCTTATCAATTAGGGTTGGAACGGTGCAACCGCTCATCACTTAGGGTTTATCACTAAGGAACATCACACCTTGGAATGCGGTTTTTCGCTATACGAGGTGAATTCCTCCCCCCACCCCTCACCCCTCCTCCATTACTATTTTAAATTTTAATATATATATATATATATATATATATATATATATATATATATATATATAACTCTATCAATACCTACCTATTTTAACCATCGAACTCACACTATCTCTTCTCATTTTCTCTATATTTCTTTCATTTTTACAACAAAATAGAATCTCACCCCTCCCCATCCCAAATATAGTCGAAGAAAATCTTGTGTTTCTAGTTCAATTATGCAAATTAGTAACATTTTCTCTTTCTATCTGCCCATTCTTGTTTATCGTCCCCAACTTCATGCCCTAATCAATCATGTCTACAAATTCAATATCAAAATTTTCAACAATATTATCCCATGCAAATACCAAATACTACACCGAAAATGATCAACAATTTTGTGCTTTTCTCTATCAACTTTCACCAACCTAACCACATCTTGCGCCACAAAGCCAATCCCCATCCTACGGCCCTCCAACCCAAACTCTCCATAAAGAGTTGGATGAGAACTTCGTACGAGAAACTCAACCCCTTCACCCGAAGACATCTCGGAGGACCAACCCCCTCCACTCCACAAAGGAAAAGAACAAACGACAAATAAAATGAAGGTTGGCCTTAAGGGGTGGACTCCGAGGGAAGAATTGTTGTTGACATAAGCATAGGTTGACATATCCGAGGATGTAAAGGAAGTAAGCGCATAATCGATTGAGCCTTTATGGTACACATTATGGAAGATTTGTCGCACAAATGAGGGAAGGTGACAACTACTATACTAAGCACCAACCGAATCCAAATTTTCGATAGATCGTGAGGATCATGAGGAATGTTACGAAGATGAATGGGTTATACAGCAACCTAAAACTCCAAATGAAAAGAGGACTAAGTGCTAAATAAATTCTTAAAGAGGCGTATCAATTGTTTCGTGAGGACAACAAAGGAAAGTCGTTCAAATTTAATGTTCAAAAGTTGTACCATGTAGTCCGAAATGGAAAGAAAGGAAAGTGATGAATAAATGATTGTTTGAAAGATAGGATGATTATAAACTAGCTAAAGAATAAACTACAAATAATTAAAGCACCTTGTAATTTTGAGAAACATGTTCATAGTCCAAAAATCTCTTGTCTGCCACTTCAAGTAACCTTTTTCATACATCAGTAGGCTCAATAGATGATGCAAATTGTTGTTTCATATATATATATATATATATATATATATATATATATATATATATATATATATATATATATATATATAACATCTTTTCCACCCATTTTACTCCCACGATTATATGAGTGCCGAATTGTTCAATAAACCTAGAAGAATAAACATAACAAGGAAGATAAATAAATACTTTTATCATAATTTATATAGATAGATGACACAAATACAAATTTAAAGGCTCTTCATAAAAGAATGTTGCAACTTTGTGTTAACTATCTTAGACTTACACAAATCACAATATAAGGTATGATGTATATGTGTGTTTTTCTTTAACATTTTGCACAAGATTAAGTAAAAATATCTAATTACCCATTCAAGAATCAACTTTCCGTTATTAAGGAATTGTAATTTTAATTTTTTTTAATATCCAATTATTGTTCAGATATACGATAGAGACACAGACAATATAAGATGTGAGGAAAACACCATTAATTATTTTCTTACTTAATTAAGGCAGTGAAAATTTTGTAACTGAAGGTCATTGATATAATTGAGTAAATCTTTTAAAATACAATGTTGCGATAGGAGGAAACAAAAGTAAGATGATATAATAACCAAATTAATGCAACTACATTGCCATTAGCTTCTCTAGATCTTGATTCAAAGAAGAAAACAATATTTAGCATTGAAAGATTTAAGGTTTGCCCCTCACCTTGCTAACAGTGCAGGCTCCCATGAAGATGGAACAACCTTCTTGACATGATCACGGAGAATAATCTGAGATTTTTCTAATGTAATTGTGTACAAAGAGATGAAAACACCATCAAAAGCTAGGGTTTTGGAAGACGTTGCATCTTCCGTCCAATTTCCAGAAAACTCAAACATCGAATTGAAGAGGCCTGAAGGAATTTTCCCTGCTAATGATAATTCTTGGTTGAATTGCTCCGACATCTGCACACACATGAAAAATGCAGAAACTTGTATTATTTATATATGGAATCAACCATTCATACCATATATATTTTTGATTCTTAAAAGTTGCATAGCAATTAGAGGATGTTTGGATTTCATTTTAAACCCTAAAATAACGTTTAGGCAAAAGAACTTACTGATTTATGAATGTGAGAAAAAGAGTTTTTAAATAGAATGTTTGGACTATTTTTTATAGTTATAAAAGTCAATAAATCAATAAAAAACAAATTTTAAATGTTTGGCTTGGAGAAAAAGAGTCTTTAAATAAAATGTTTGGATTATTTTTTATAGTTATAAAAGTCAATAAATCAATAAATTTTTTTTTTAAATGTTTGGCTTGGTTTATACTTGTAAAATGACCAAAAAGAAATTATAACTTCTTAAAATTTCTTTTTCAACCTAATAATTATAAGTTGTTTTAAAAAGTTATAAATCATAACTTTTTAAAATCTTATTTTCAAACATTTAACAAAAATTGTTTTAGAAGTCTTTTTATATATATGCAAGCCCTTTTTTTAATTATTGACTTTATAAGATGTTAATAAATTAATAAATCATTTTTAGATAAAATGTTAGATTTTTTTTAAACATCGCATAGCGGATTGTAGGTATAGAAAGGAAGATTTGTCAAAACTTTACTTAATCCATACCTGCGGAAAAGAAAGAACATCATAATGAAGTCGCGTATGCTGGCCTTCATGACATTTGATGGATTCGGGAACATTGAGAAGTAGAAGCTTATCAGGAAGCACAATATCTCTACCTTCATCTTCCTCTATTTCTATCAAATGGCAATTTCGATGGATTATTACCAAAATCTGAATCATAACGACGTTTGCGATGCTCAAGCCTCAGATCTAATGAGATATCATAACCACATCCAATTGACTGAATTGCAACATTTACAGCTTCAGCAGCCGGAAGCTTAAGCGCCATTTTTAACGTCAATTACTCAAAAAAAAATCTACAAATGCATCTCAACCAGTGCTGACGACGATCGATTATTCTCTAATACATCCCAAACCCTGGATGGTAGAGTTGGATGTGAGATCAGGGGATTTGATTAAATTACTCTTTTAAACAGGAATCCACCTTCCACCCTCCCCTCTCATTCTGGCGACCACTGTTGACTATTTAACAAGTTGACTCCACATCTCACCTAACCCATACAGTTTCATGAAAGTCAATGGAAGCCTTCATCTCTTGCACTTGCAATTGCTTCCATCATATAGATTTGAATTTCGTAATTACGATCCGATCGACAAACAATGACTGCCTTTCTGGTAGAGAATCAACATCTTAAAATCAAACTGGAAGAGATAAAATTAGCTACCAACAACTTTGATAACAACACCGTTATTGGAAAAGTTGGATTTGGGAACGTGTATAAAGGAGTACTCTCTCACTCTAAAGGCCAAATCAGGGTTGCTTTTAAGGGTCGGAAACCCTGAGTTCTTGAAAGAGATCATGATGCTTTCACATTATAAACATGAAAACCTCATCTATATTCTAGGGTTTTGTGATGAGGATGGTGAGAAGATCCTTGTGTATGAGCATGCATATCACGAAAGCCTAGATCGCCACTTAAGGCCATATGGTATACTCATAACAAACATGTCCGTGGTCTATGTGGCCACGAACAATTTGAACACCACCCCATACTCTTAGTGGTGGCTAGTGGTGGAAAAATTCGTGGTCAAATGTGGTGGGGAAAACGGACAACAACATCCAATCAATTTTTTTCTCTCTCCATGTCTCTCTATCTCTCTCTACCTCTCTCTACATTTTAATTAATTAAAAAATTTTATATTTTTTAATTTAAAAATAAAAAATAAGAAGCATATAGTGGTGGGTATCCCATAGGTTTAGTGGTTGAATGTGGTGATGAGGTGGTACCCACCACCATAGTGGTTAGTGGTAGGTATAACGGATGACCTAAGTACTCATACTCTCACATGGTGGAAACGTCTCAAGATATGTGTCACTGCGAACTATCTTCATGATCCCAAAGGGACATAACAAAGAGTAATCCATTGGGATATAAAAGTGCTCATATTATACTTGACGAGAGTTATAATGCTAAACTTTCTGACATGGGATTATCCAAAATAGGACCTGCTGATCAGCAGCACAGCTTTCTTGCCACCAATGTTGCAGATACCTATGTGTGTGGATCCGGTGTATATGGAGGCTTACAGGATAGGAATTTAACTAATTGCGACTTTTTGATGCTAGTCAATTAGTATGTTAAGAATATACATGGTTGATAAACCGCAAAAAATTAGGAATTTTGTAGTAACTATGTCTTGTATGATATGACTTGTGTCATGTTGTTAATTATGTACACTACCTATGTAAATAATGTTTTACATTGAAATTTTTTGGGTGTTCGTACTTTTAGTTTTAGAGTTTTCACAAAACTTGTGTTCCTCCTACTTCAATCTCCAACTCATTTTGTAACTCGTTCTTATCCACACGAGCATTTCAAGACACATATCTATAATCTAAGTACCTTTGAAACGTTAGTTCTCTATCAAACAGAAGGATAAATTAATTTTCAATGCATGTGCAAATTTTGCACACTATGTATCTAGAAATTAGTACGCCCAAAAAGTCTTTTAATTGATTTCTTTACAATCCACGAACTTTAACACTTACTTCAACATCACGACAAAACCACATAACTTGACATTTGGTTTCACAAAAGATGAAATTTTGTAGCTCGGTATACATGAAGACGAAGTTGTGGAGGAAAAGAAGAAACCATGGCATCTCCAAACACGAGTTCCAAATGACCTACATTGACATCACCACCTAATCTGCCACTTGTTCATCGGCTAACATATGAGGCAAAGAGTACTTAACCTGAAGAGAAATCGTTCCCTTGTTCACTACAAATTTAGCCCTTGTGATGACCCAATACCCTAGGCTTTCTTGTGGGCCCCGTTTCATCTCCGTTATATCCACAATCTTTAATAAATTCAGCATCATCTTCGTCGGGGTTTCTCGAAAAATATTGAACCGGGTGTGTGGCATGACCTCCTCGAAAAAAACTGAAGATTCTGACATTTGGCCCGGAGACTCCCATTCCGACCTCCTTGCGGTGCAACCAAGTACTTCTGAGAAGCGGAGGCATAAAAAGAGGACTTTTTTAACCCTTGATCTTTAACATGTTGCTGGGCCCCGTTTACGATTGAGAAGATTCCGTATTCGGACTCGATCGGGGCGGTGCAGACGTGGTTATAGTTTTTCCCTTGGACCTTTTCGTAGAATGCACTGTTGTAGGAATCGGAATTGAAGGTTCCAATTTCGGATACGGAATCTTCTATTTGGAAGAATTTTGGGACGCTGAAGAGGTATTGGAGGTGGATCTCTAACTGATGGTTTCTTTCAGGATTGAGGTAAATCCGGAGTCCTGTTATGGGTATCTTACCTACATCAACCTATTTAGAAACAGTAAATGATCAGGAAGTAATTTCCGATCATCGGAATCCCAATTAAGTTCTAAGATTAGGAAATTACCACACTGGTGTTCACGTAGAGCTGGTCCCAAAAAAGTTGAACTGTAAAGATGTTGTACTTTGATGCTCATGTTGTAGACCAACAGACTGCTCACTGAAGGTAGGGGCCCATCGTCTCGGTAGCTGGAAGTCCAGAAACCGACAGAGCTCTTCCAATGGAGGTTTATCTGTAAACAACCTTAAACTTATAATAATTTCAACTGATATCAACATAATCTGGGAAGAAGGGTAAAATGGTCATTTGCTCACAGCATAAATAGAGACTTATGGCATGACTTAAGTATCCACTTCCCCTAACACCATTTAGCAAAGAGGTTATTGGAACGAAGGACATTGTGATCACATCTGGTTTAGATTGTACTGTTTGTAACCACTCGTTATGTTGTAGGTTCCTGTCATCACTCCCACCTCTCCTTCTGCAAATGCTTAAAAGATTATGCAAATAATTGAAATGACCAGCGATGATATATATATATATATATATATATATATATATATATATATATATATATATATGTAGTGTTATACTTTCGATCTTTTTCTTATTAGGAAAGTGTAATTTGAAAAATCTACCCAATTATTACTTTTAAACTGCTATGTATGTGTATGAAATTTCTCTAACTGGGCAGATTTCCTGAAGAACAAGGTTATAATTGATGGGTTTTGGCCATATGAACATTCCTATGTGCACATACAAACCCTAATGCTTGGATCTAGGTTTCTCTAATTGAACATGCATGAATCCAAGACTTCTAATGGTTATTCTATCATAATAACATTGAGAAATTAGAGTTATAAGTTTACCTTGAATCACTTGCTTGATCTTCTTGTCCTTAGAGCTTTAGAGTCACAATTGTCACTCCTCTATTGGCTTACAAACACCAACTAGCAAGAGGATGATTTGAGAGAGTAAGGAGGGACTTAGAAATCGGCCAGGGTTCCTCTAGTGACAAGGGTGACGATTTCCATGACCCCTAGGGTCTATTTATACTTGTAAGGCTCCTAGGGTTTCACCTTTAAACCCTAATTGGATAACTTAGGCCCTAAGCAATCCTAATCCCCTTCATGATAAGCCTTGGACGGATTTTAGGTCTATCTTAAGCCCCTAAAATCGTCCACCCCACTATCCATAAGGGATTATAGCCTAAAGTATAATTATCATACAGTTGACAGTTTATGCCCTTCTATTTAATTAATCTCCTTAAGTCACCAAATTAATTCCTAATTAATTTATGACTTATATTAATCAAATAACAATATTATTATTCCTTATAATATTTCTTCTCTCATTGTAAATCATCCTATCAAGTTGCTATTGTGAAGGCAACCCAAAAGGACCATGTTCAATCGGGTCAAGTACTTTCCAAATATAGTTGCAGCCTTAGACACTATTCCAACAATAATAGTAGGAAATAAAGGTAAGATGCTATAATAAGCAAATCAATGAAAGTATGTTGCCATATTTTTTGCAGTTAAAACCAAGACAAATGATCATAACCATCTAAAGAATAAACTACAAATAACAAAAGTACCTCATCAATTTGAGAAATGTGTTCAGAGTCCAAAAATCTCTTGTCTGCCATTTCATTTAACCTTTTCTGTACATCATCAGGTTCAAGGGATGATGCATGTTGCTGTTTCATATATATTACATCTTTTCCACCCATTTTTACACCCACAATTATATGAGTGCCAAATTTTTTGATAAACCTGGAAAAACAAAGAGAACAAGGAAAATAGATAAATAATTTTATCAGAGTTATATAAACAAACAAGACAAATACAAATTTAAAGGCTTTTCATACGAGAATGCTGCAACTTTGAGTTAATTGTTTCAGACTTGCACAATATAATGGTATGTTGTGTTTTTTTTTTTTTTTTTTATGTTTTGCACAACATGGGGTAAAAATCTACTAAATGGTCATTTAAAAATTGACTTCCCGTTATTAAGGCATTGTAATTTTAATTTTTTTCTTTAATACCCAATTATTATTTAGTAGTGAAAATTCACTTGTAGTTGAATGACATTGCGATAGATGGGTGGATCTTTTAAAATACAAACATGTTATAGTAAACAAATCAATGCAAGTACATTGCTATTTCTTGCATTAAACCCTTCCTTTAATGGGCATAGTATTAGCTCCTCCAAATCTTACTTCAAGGAAGAAAACAGTCTTCAGCATTGAAAGATTTAAGTGTATAAAAATGTCTGCGCCTCACCTTGCTAACAAAGCAGGCTCCCATGAAGATGGAACAACTTTCTTGATGTGATCACAAAGAACCATGTGAGATTCTTCTAATGCAACAGTGTACAAAGAGAAGGAAACACCATCAAAAGCTAGGGTTTTAGTACTTGATGCATCTTTCGACCATTTTCCAGAAAACTCAAACATTGAATTGAAGAGGCCTGAAGGAATTTTGCCAAATAATGATAATTCCTGATTGAATTGCTAAGACATCTTGCATACAAAAAATGCAGAAACTTCTATCATTTATGTGGCTAACCAATCATTTAAATTGTTTATACTTAACAGTTGCATAGCAATTAATGATAGTTTCTTTGGTATGTATTTATGCATAAATGTGTGTATCGCAAAGCACAAACCAGTAATCATACATACTTATAAAGTTAGCATTTTTTTTTTAATCTCATTCATTTGAAGCCCCATTTTTTTAACTTCCTCAAACCACATTCATTTGAAACTCCCTTTTTTTAACTAATGCAACTCAAAAGTTTTCTTAATTATGATTTAACACTCAAAAATTTTATAACTTATATTATGTTTATTTAGCATTTAGTGGAAAGTTTACTATAAAAAGATCAATCTTTTGTGTCTTTTGTGTTATATAAAATCTTACATGTATGAAGGATTTGAAGATATTGTGATTCAAAAGTTTTCATATAATTGAACCATTCATGATCCAAATATAATGATTTGAAGAAATGGGTTATGTCGCATCGATGGTAATTGTAATATGATTTTTCTTTCAACCAAAACAAATGAATCTTTTATATTCTTTCTTTACATTCAGTTTCTCATTTAATCTTTATATGTCATTTGTGTGTATTACTTAATCTTGAATGTTTTGCTTGGAATATCTTTCCGATTCTTCTTTTTCAAGGAAAATATTTTGATTGCAGGTTAGTGAAGAATTGTCATCAAGTTTCTATGGTTGAATGGTGGTAAATGAAGAAAGAAAATTCATAAAATGGATATTTTTTTTAGCAAAGTTGACGAATGTTAGTTTTTTCTTTTGATTTAAATGTATGCATATGTAACATCTTTATATTCAACCACCTAATGCTCTTATTTATTTGATTGTAGTTTTTCTATTTTGATTATGTTTATTTTCTATTTTTTTTGTTGGGTTATCCTACACAACATATTTAAAAAACAATTAACATAATTTTGAACATTTGATATGTAATTATGAAAAACTTATCATGATATGTTCTTTATATAAAAGTAACTTATCCATATGACATTTACGAATATATATATATATATATATATATATATATATATATATAATGTGATTTGTTTAACATGTATATGCACCTATGTATGTTATACATTTATAATTAAATACCTTTATGTTTAATAATTAAAAGGATTAAAATGATGCATCAAAACTAATTATTTAGACGAATATAATAATAATAATAATAATAATACTAATAATAATAATAATAATAATAATAAATATACATTTCCAAGTACCGCATTCATTTGAAACTGTCGCTACAACTCAAGAGTTTTCTAATTTATGTATATTTATTAGTTACAACTCAAAAGTTTTTAACTTATGATTATTAATTAGTAATCACTAATAACTTTTTATTTTCCTTTCTTTTATATGGTTGTAAAGTTTTGCTCTCTAAAAACATTAATGTATTGGAAGAGATTTGTGATTTAAATATGAAGAGTTAATATAAATGTTATAATAGATGTTTTAGTGTTTTTATGTTATTAAAAGTTATTTATTTTTCATATTTTTTATTATTTGTTGTGTGTGTGTGTGTGTGTGTATATATATATATATATATATATATATATCTTTTTTAATAAAAATGTTATAATAAATGTTTTTCTATTTTCATGTTACTAAAAATTACAGTTCATATTTTTGTTCATACGTTTTCTTACCTGTTATATTATCATTCATTTGATATATAATTAACACAATTTTAAACGGTTAATAAAATTATCAATTAATTGTATATATCACGACTTAAAAATAAAACTATAATATATAATAAAACTAATATGTTAACTATATGTTTGCTTTACTACTAACAATCTTAAATATTACTAAAAGAGAAACTTTATGACATCATCTTAAATAATCTGGACCATTGATTGTATTTCAATCTTATTTTTTCCACCCTTAGATCAAATTGCTGACATCATCTTCCCCATATGGAATGTATTTAATTCCAATAAATGCTTTCCAATCATCAATCAATAACTTACATTCGTTGAAATTGAATGTATTTAATTCCAATAAAAGTTTTCCATATTTTACATCTTGAATTTTCAGTTATGAAGATTTTAATATGATCAATTTTAAAAATATATTACTAACAAATCATTTCAATCAAGGTCTTAATATCAACCATTAATATAAATCCGTTTATATTAGTAAACCAGTAATATAAAATCTTTTTTATTAGGAAATCATTAATACCGAAAAATCATATTCAAATTATCACATACATATACGATTCATCATTGAATCCGCGACTCACATTTATTTTCAATCGTTTCTTTTCTTCAAATATTCTCCTACAACATCGTTAATATTGCTTATAACTTCCATCATCATTCTCTGCTATCAACATTCACTCTTGTGCGCTAGAAGGTCAGTACCTTCTTTCGCTTTTTATATTTTTTTTCGATCATTTTTTGTTCCTATATCAAATGTATGTATTCATATATTTTGATTTTCTTTGTCACAAATTACATAAAATCAGTTAACTACTTTTCTGAAACTTTTCAAATAAACATGAAAAAGTATTAGGTACCTTTAACAAAACAAAAATTAACTATCCTAGGAACTGACATTAATTACGAAAATGTTACTTTTATATATTAGAGATGATTATGATTTTTTTTTAATTTTTATGTCATAAGAATCCGGTTAATTTTGGCATGATTTTAAAATATCATTGAAATTATTATGTTTTTATATATAATATCAACCTACTTTTTTTTTTATATCTTCGTATAGTAACAATAAAATTTATTAATTTACACAACAAATATAAATATTTCAAATTTTGAAATATTATTATATCTTACAAAATACAACTCCTTCCAAAATAAATTTTCGTCAGTAATTTCATCCATAATTTCAACAAATTTAAATTTGTATTTTCTTTATATATATATTTTTTTAATGATCCTGATTTTTTTTCTCCAAAAGTATATCAAACATTTACGTTTTAGATAATGTTGTCCTATTATAATTATTATTTTCCAAAAATATATCCGTTTAATGAGGAATTTGATATAATAAAGGAAGTGAATGTTAATTAAAATGAGATATATATTCCATAATTATTACATGAATTTATTAAAAAAATTAATATCAATGTGTAAATATTAAACATTTTTAAAGTGAAATTTCAGAATACATACAAACGATAATGTTGTACAATGAAATATAAAATTGAATAGACTGAAAAAAAAACACTATTAAAGCAGTCAATCTTGAAAATAACATAGTTATGAAAAATTATAAAGTAGGATTGAAATTATAAGATATTAGGAGATTTGTAAAAAGTACATTTAGTAAAAGCGTTACGGTTATTAGAAAAAATAAGACTGTTAAGATTAGTGAAAATACAATATATAAACTAAATTATCATAATAGTAATGAAATGTCATTATTTGATATTTCATATAATTGACAGATATATCAAATTAAATTGATATACTAAAATTATTCAAAGTTGCACCAAAACTAATGCAAAATTTTTGCGAATACTAAATAAATAAGAACAAACATAAAAGCTAGCATTTATATTTATAATCAATTTAAAATAAATCAATCATGATTTAGAAAAGAATCTCCATTGATGATATACTAAAATTAAATATATATAACATTTAACATTTTATAAATTATATTACATAACTTTATTTGAATAAATAAAATAGTTGTTAATATTTAATGCAATAGAAAAAACGGTATATTGATTGTCAATATATGTTTAAATTAGGTAACATTATTATGCAATGAACGTCTAATTATATTGATTGTCAATATATGTTTAAATTTGGTAACATTATTATGCAATGAACGTCTAATTAAAATGCTTATAAATATATAAATATCATAACTATATAAGACGAGGAAAATCGTTCAACTAATAAAACAAAAAATAATGTCTACAAGGAAATCTTTCAATGATTATATATATTTATCGTTTTCAATGTATTTTCTACATATTTCAATAATACCAATAACCATATATATTTTTTTATAATCATTATACAATATCTACAAACGATTATATGTTTTTATGCGTTTCCCGCGTTTAACGCGGGCTATAATCTAGTTTATTTCAAAGTAAAAATATTAAATAATAATTTAGTAAAATTTATTATTTTAACTATAGAATTTTATTCTCGGGTTTCCATGCCAGATGCATAGTAATTAATGTTGATTTTTTATTTTATATGCATTGCACAAGGATTAAAAAAAAACAGTAAAACTATCCATAATCCATACCAGCTAAAAAGAAAGAGGATTAGAAAGAAGTCGCCTATGTTCGCCTTCATGACATTTGATGGATCGATTGGGGAACATCAGGGAGTAGAAGTCCACCAGGAAGCACAATGTCTCTGCATTCGTCCTCCTCAATTTCTATCAAACGGCAATTTCGATATGGATTATTACCAACATCTGAATCATAACGACGTTTGCGATACTTAAGCCTCACGCCATATCATAACCACATCCAATTGACTGAATCGCAACATTTGCAGCTTCAGCAGCTGGAAGCTTAAGCGCCATTTTTAACTTCAATTTCTCAAAAGAAAAATCTACAAGTGCATATCAACCAGTGCTGGTGACGATCGATACACCCTAGATGGTAGAGCTGGATGTGAAGCCTACGGGATTCAGATTCAGGGGATTTAATAAACAGGAATCCACCGTCAAACCTCCCTCTCTCACTCCGACGACCTAACTTGTCATCGTTGTCACTGCTATCTCCAAACTTGTTATTGTTATTCTCAACATCAAGCAATGGAGCCTCATTGAAAGTCAATGAAAGTCATAGGGCGGCTGAAAGTTATTCTATAATGTATTAATGATGGCTAGGTAGTGTTGACTATTCAACACGTTGACTCACATACGATTTCACCACCTATGACCTAACCCAGACAATTGCATGGAAGCCTCGCCTCCTGCACTTGCATTTGCTTCCATCATTTCGATTTCAGTTTTGTAATTACGATCTGATCAACAAACAATGGAGGCCTTTCTGGGAGAGAATCAACATCTTAAAATCAAACTGGAAGAGATAAAATCGGCTACCAACAACTTTGATAACAACAACGTTATTGGAAAAGGTGGATTTGGGAACGTGTACAAAGGAGTACTCTCTCACTCTGAAGGGCAAACCATGGTTGCTTTTAAGCGTCTAGATCGTAAGCTTGGGCAAGGAAACCCTGAGTTATTGAAAGAGATCCTGATGCTTTCCCGTTACACACATGAAAACCTCATCTCTCTTCTGGGATTTTGTGATGAAGATGATGAGAAGATCCTTGTGTATGAGCATGCATATCACGGAAGCCTAGATCGCCATTTAAGTGCCAATACCCTCACATGGTGGAAACGTCTCAAGATATGCCTCACAGCTGCAAAGGGACTCTGCTACCTTCATGATCCTAAAGGGACAGAACAAAGAGTTATCCATCGGGATATTAAAAGTTCAAATATTCTACTAGATGAGAGTTGGAATGCTAAACTTTCTGACATGGGTTTATCGAAGATAGGTCCTGCTAATCTGCAACACAGCTTTCTTGCCACCAATGTTGTAGCTACGTATGGGTATATAGATCCTCTGTATATGGAGACTTACCTCGTAACGAAAAGAGTCGGATGTATACTCATTTGGCATGGTTTTGTTCGAAGTGCTGTGTGGGAGACTCTGCTATGAATATAACAACGGTCATTTTATGAGCTTGTGGCCAATGTGGAAAAAAAGCTATGAAGAGAAGAAACTAGATCAGATTATCTTTGAAGACCTGAAGGAACATATGAATCCGAGTTCACTGGAAACATTTTCAGGCATTGCTTATCGATGTTTGCAGAAATCTCGTGAAGAACGTCCAAAGATGTCTGATGTTGTGGAAGAACTTGAGATTGCACTTGATATTCAAAAGACAGAAGGACCAATGGACTTTGAAGAGATGATTGAAACTGCAGTAGCTCCTCATGTCTACAAATCCAAAGAGGAACTACAGATGCTTCTCTACAGAGGAATGTTGGTTAACGGGGGCAAAACGGTAATTAGCTAGCTCTATCAAAATTGTGAATTATAAACTGCTAATTTAAGGAATTTATACGATTAAAACCAAGTAGTATACATTTCAACAAACAGTGATTGCTGAAATGTACTCATATCCTAACTTGATGTCTTTTAACGAACAGTGGTTTCCATTAAACAAGAATGGTGAACATTGTGAAATGATATCCGCAAAAGTATGTTTGATTCCTATTCTCCCTGCATCTCCCAGATATGCATACAATGGTCTACAACACAAATCAAGGTTAGCTGTCATCCTCCTTTATGATTCTAGCTTTTTAGAATATTCATCAGTATGTAATATTAATTGTATCCATTGCTGCATCTTCCTGCAGATTTCCATTAGACAACAAAAATACCACACCATTATGTTGGAGATTCAAAATGAATGTAAAAGCACAATTTTTGTCACCACATATCACATATGCAGTAAACCTTGTGCTCGGTGTTGACTATGAAAGTATGGACCTTTTATTCCTCAATTACAATTTGGCTGAGGAGACATACTATTCCACTTCATACAAAGCAGATGAGAGAGAAGATGGATGGTTCACGACTGAATTGTATCAGTTTACTAGCACCAAAAAAAGTGCTGATTTTGATATAACTTTTGATTGCCGAGGACATCCGTTGATTGTAGAAGGCATCGAGTTCCAGCCCATCGAGAGAGTAAGCCTAAGCCAAAAAATATTGGTTTATTCATTTAGATCATTTCGTTTATGTTTTTCTTGTGTTTCAAACATTCTTGGAAAATAAAGCGTATGTTTTATTATAGGTGGATCATCATCAACTGTTAGAGGATGAGAAGGTGGATATGCCAGAGACATATTGGGAACAAAGGTTGCCAAGTGATTATGAAGATATACTCAAGTCGTCCAAAAATAGTCTACAATGGACAACAAACAAGGAACTCTACTCTATTCTTCGTAAAGGGTTCCCAATCAATAATGGTGAAGAGGTATATCATGTTATTATTTTTTATGATATTCATAAACACAATGTAGCTGTTGTCATTTGTTAAGCATATGAACATTGTTCTAGCTACTATAATTTCAAAAGAAATACTTAATTACACAGTGGTTCTCACTTGCAAACAATGGGAAGAAATGTCATATGGTTCCAGCAAGAATGGCTTTGCGAAAATTAGTGTGGAGATGGGGGCCTTCACGTGAATCAAGGTGGTAATCCACTCGTATAAATTCCAGTTACCTAAAATGACTTAATGACCAATATTTCTATTAAAACACAATATGTCTTGTTGCAGATTTAAAGAAGTGGCTTTTTGTACTCAACAATCCTTTTCAATAACCTGCACTTCCAAAATGTTGTCACCTCATACAAGATACGCATGCTTTCTTGTTTACAACATACAAACCAAGAACCCTAACGTTGGGCAAGTTGTGGAAGTGAGTGATCAGAGTTGTATCACAGAGAGTGGAGAGTATGATCCACATCATATCCTTTTATTTTTGCCTGAGACCCCAATTATTAGACAACAGGTTAACGACAACACCAACAACATACACAACCCATTAAAGAGAACCAAAATGGAAGGTGTTCCACAACGTAGGAATGATGGTTGGTTGGAAGTGCAAGTATGGAAATGCCAAACTGGTGCTACTACTAGTGAAAATCCTTTGTTTGATCTTTATTTCAACATTAGGTCTTTTTCGAGGATTGCAGAGCTCAGTGTGCAAGGCATTGAGTTTAAAGCCATATAGATTTTTTTTATAGTATATGATTAGAATTTGGAAATGAATTAAGTGTAACGGTTCGATTTTAAGCATATATCTCACAAGATATCTTGAAGAGATCTTTTATCTGATAGATTAGGAAACTTGTTGTATTTAATTATCTTTCCTATTTTCTTGTATCTTTATGTGTATAAAATATTAATATAAGATTCTCCTCAAATGTGGTGATTTCTATCTAACCTTCCATGGTATTGGCTAGGCCTGTCGAAAAAACCCGAAACCCGTTCTACCCACCCGACCCATTCCGAATTCGGGTAGAATGGGTCGGGTAGAACAGGTAACGGGTTTCAACATTCAGGTAATAGGCTAACCCGATAATAATATACGTCAGGTTTTAGGTATGAATATTTATTTTCGGGTATACCCGAATTCATTTTTTAAATAATATCAGATATATAATGCAGTCACGTACGTACACTTCAAATAAAACAAAACCCTTCGTTTCCTTCTTATGAACGATGGCTCGACAGTCGACGCAAACTTGCAAAGGGAATACGACGTTGAAGCTGAAGTCCTGAACCATCATCACAATTCTCAGTTTCTCACTATCGCACGGAATGAAATTAAAAAAAGTACATAATATATTATAATGATTTGTATTGTTATTATGTATGTACTTGTTAATTGTATATAGTATTTTCCTACCCGATTCTTTATTAAACCAACCAACGTGTAAAAAAAATAAAAAAAATTATCAATAAGTGTCATTTAAGAAATTTTCGGGTATACCCGATAATTACCCAACCCGACCTCAAACCCGAAAACCCGAATTACAATATAGGTCGGGTATCGGGTATTATTTTCTTAAGGAAATACCCGTTCTGCCCGACCCGTTCTACCCGAAACCCAAAATTTTTACCCGTTCAACACCCCTAGTATTGGCCTAACATGATCCTTCCTTTTTACCTAATCGTCGGTAACTCCCTCTCTTTAACATGGCTCTCGGCAACGATCTCACCCTCCCTCTTTCTACTCTCATAGATTAGGAAACTTGTTGTATGTAATTATCTTTCCTATTTTCTTGTATCTTTATATCTATAAAATATTAATATAAGATTCTCCACAAGTGTTGTGATTTCTATCCAACCTTACATGGTATTGGCCTAACATGATCCTTCCTTTTTCCCTAATCGCCGCTACCTCCTTCTCTTTAACATGGCTCCCGGCAACGATCTCACCCTCCCTGTAACAACCCGTTATTTCAAGTCAGTAAAAATCGAGTCCTGTAACCTCTTTGAGAAAGGAATTAGAATATCATCGAAAAATGAAGTATTCAAAAACTCTATTTGGAGTACACTATGTGGTAGTTATCGTCTTAAGGTTTCCAAACATATAAATAACACAAAAATCTGAGTTATAACGAAGAAGTTATGATCATTCTAAGTTTTCCGACAAAAACCGGCAATACGAAGTTGCGTAAAAACGCAAAGTTTCAATAAAACACTTTCCGATCTTAGGTATCTAAATGAAAGTCGTAGATATCGTTAAACTACAAACATGCATAAAAAGAACGCTCAAATCGGACATCGTATGAATAAGTTATGAATTTTTAAAGAAATTCCTTAATCACGTCATTTTAATAAATAAATAATAAAAATAATTCCGGAATTTGCCAACGGAATCTAAATGAAAGTTGTAGATCGTAGTCTCACCTACGCGGGGATATAAAGAACGTCAAAAACGGAGTTCGTATGAAGGAGATATGAATTTTCGAAGTTTGATAAATAATTTATATATAATTTTTATTAAAACTTCGGTATTATCCGAAGGGGCGTCAGCGTCCTCATCCGAGGTACGCGCTGCGTACCCCTGTACGCCCCGCGTACCCGAGGAACTTGGCCTCAAACCGTCCACGTCGCCCTATGCGAGGCATCCGACCCGCCCGTCCGACCCGCCGTCCCATCCGACCCGACTGCCTGAGCCGTCCCATCCGAGGCCGAGGCAGTCGAGGCTTCGGTCATGCATGACGTACGCGTACGCGCTGCGTACGAGCGTATGCCCCGCGTACGAGGCCTCTCAGGCCCCCCTATAAATAGCATGCGAGGGTTCCCGGGAAAATGGCTCATTCTCTCTCCTTTTTCTTGCGTTTTACCTCGTTTTCCGTGCTCGCACTACCCCGAAGCCCTAGTCATTTTGTGCAAGTCCCGAAGGTCGATTTTACTCCCGAGGAATCCCGAGAATCCCGAGGAAAATCCATTTCCCGAGACGAAACTCTGCCCGGTTTTCCATCTTGCTATCTTCAAACTTTCAAGTGAGTTCATACCCCTTTGAAACACACTTTAAATACATTTTAAATGCTTTTATACTTCTTTAGGGGGGGAATACAAGTAAACATACGGTTATTATCGTATATTTTATAAAGTTTCACTTAGCTTGTTTTACCGAATAAATCACTTGGAACTCATTACTATTATGGAAAACTCTTGTCATACTTTGTGTGCATTAGACTTATACAAAGTATATAACGATTTCAAAGTACCTTTCATTGTTAAGTCGTTTTATACATTCTAAAAACTTATGATTTTGCTTTGTCAAACATTGTGAAAAAGGATAAACTTTGCATAGAAAACTATCACTTTAATACGGGCTTAGTTGAGAATCCATGAGACGTGTATATCTTCAAACGTTACTTTTCTTTATTAGAAAGTAATGCTGCAAGTCCTGTCTATAACCAGAGTCTCCCGTTCGGAGAACGTGTCAAATGTGTATAGATCTATACGAGAAGTCATGATCCCGCGCCCTGACTGTTAGCTACAGTCCGTCTTTTGGGGTGACAGTTGTCATAACGCTGCGACGCCTGAAGAACGTCGTTACAGGCATATTATGTATAGTATGGTTATAAAACGAGTAAATTACACGAATGGTCCCTATGGTTTAGGGTAATTTGCACGTTTGGTCCCCAACTTATTTTTTTAACTCGGAAGGTCCCTACTGTTTGTTTTTGTTACACGCTTGGTCCCTATCTTACCTAAAAAGACTATTTTGCCCTTGATTTTTTAATTTATTTAAATAAACACACTCCCAACCCCACTCCACTTACCTTACCCTACCTATCCCATCATCTTTCCCTAATCAAATAATAGTCTTTTTAGGTAAGATAGGGACCAAGCGCGTAACAAAAACAAATAGAAGGGATCAAACACGTAACAAAAACAAACAGTAAGGACCTTCCGAGTTAAAAAAGTAAGTTAGGGACCAAACATGCAAATTACCCAAACCATAGGGACCATTCGTGTAATTTACTCTTATAAAACTCATCGGATATACAATTATTATGGTATTATGCTTTTATGAACGAGTAGCTATTAAAACTATTCTTCATCTAAAAAATGCGATCTTCGTATAGCTTTATTATATAAAACTATGACACAACTTTCGAGAACGTCGGTTCCTTGCGATTTTCGGTCTTAGAGACTGCCATTTAGGTTAGGAAAATAAGGGATTTTTCCTGGTGCATTCATTTACAACTTATAACACGAACATTCATATGCATTTCATACTTTTATAAGAAAATAAGGGTTTTTCTTGGGAAACACAACAACTCGTATCTCAACCATTAGGGAAAATATGAGATTTTCTGGATTTAATACATTCACTTTCAACAAAACAAATCACAACTCTTTACATTTGAAATGCTGCGTTTTCTGGAAAAGTATACACCCATTTTGGAATAGCGTCCAATTTTTCTAAACTACTTATGAACTCACCAACTTAATTGTTGACACTTTTTCTTTGAAATAACTTGTATTCTCAGGAAACCGCTAAGCAGGTTGAGAATCAACTTTTGGGATTAACGCGTTGGCGTTAATTACTTCTTTTGAATGATGTTTATGTATTTATCTTTTGAACATGTAATGAATACAACTATGTAAACATCTTGGAAACTTTAATATATATGGTGGTGTGTACTTTCCTTTCTATGAATTGTTATGATACTGAATATGACGTCCTCCGCCCCCGAACGTTTCCGCCGTTCTGGTTTGGGGGTGTGACAGATTGGTATCAGAGCTTTGTTTATAGGGAATTAAGTATATCAAAACCATTCCTTTTTGATATACAACTATAAACTGAACTGGGCAAAAACACTCTGAGAAAAATTCATACTTTTGAAAGTAAATCTAAATAGTTTAAGGTAAGCATGCACTCATTTTATACTAATAACAGTTTCATAGTAAATAACTTTAGAAGTATTATAAATAAGTTGTGCAGTACAGGTACGCCTTGGGACATGTAATCGGAACTGGGAAGAATATAGCCTGATCAACTATATTTTTCCAAGAGCCGACTAACGTATGCCAAGGAGTGTCTGCAATGGACAACAAATTTAAAACTTACCAAAAGCATATCGCTAAAGAATACTAAGGGAGTATTCGAGTGCCGTCGACCATTGAACTTAAGGGTAAGTTTCATGTGCTCTAGCTTATAGTAAATTTTTAACTCTATTCTCGTACAGTCTAAATGGCGGGATTCCATCACCCCAATGATCCCTACTACCCCAACCAAGGTAATGGAGGGTGGATCGAAGAAGATCCTGAAGAAGACGAAGAGCCTATAGAGTTGGAGGGAGGGGATGACTCTGGTACGGATTCGGAGCCAGAAATTATAAATCCACCAATCCCACAACCTCCCGTTCACGTGAGGAACTTCCAAGGACCCACTCCAGTGTGGGGAAGTCACCTCCATCATTGGAGCCAACAACAAAGCTTACGCCCTCCCTACGGCATGTACCGAGACTTCTATGATGTGAGAGGCAGGGGATCAGCCGACCGAGCACTTCCGGTCATGGTTGGCAAACTCGCTAACCAGTGCTATCAATCCGGAGTGCAAGCCAACCGAATCCGAGAGGTCAACGTGGAAGTACAAATCCATACGGCCGATATCAACCGCCTATAGTTGTTGCAGAACGACATCCACATTCGCGCCGAAGCATTTCAAGCACAAGCAAATGCGGCCTTCGCAGAATTAAGAGAACAACAAGCTGCGTTTGATAGACGCCTCATGGAGTCGAAGCAGTCCGACACGGAGTCGAGCTCCAAACGCAAAGCGCGCCGCAAGTAGTACTTGCCCGACTCTCAAATTTTGTTATAAATTAGGACTTCGGATAAAAGTATTATTTTCTTTAAATTC